ACTATGAAGTTACTCGAGCATTTGTCTGACCGAAACGCTCTCATTTTATGCAAGATAGAATAATTACAGACCACATAATATTAACTTTCAACGATTTTAACTTTTATTTAATTTTATTTTACTCTTACTGGAATAATTTTCCTTTTTATCTTATATAACAGATATATAGATCCGTTATATATTTATATATAACATTATTACGTTAAAAGTATCCATCCTCAATTTTTCCAATTACTCACCCTGTTCAATCGCGCCATCTTCACTTTTAACTTCTTCCCCTCCAAAGATCCTAGATTCCCTGGTCACCGACCGATCCTTCTTCCCTTCCTCCATCCCTTCCATCCTCCGCCTCGTCACGCATTCGATGGAATTCTCTCCGCGGCTGCAATCGATCGGCACTGTATCGCGATCGCTTCGATGGAGAAGCGTGCAACGGCACGCGGCCAGCAGGGCGCACAACGTCAACGGGACGACAACGAGGAACGTACGTTGAAGCATGTTCGACGCGGACTGAACGGCCGAACGAATGACCATTTTTATAGAAACAGTTGGTATAATTAACAGTTACAGGCATACAGAGCGTGAATCCAGCTCTGCGCGGATCGTTCTCCTGTGTTGACTTGTTTCGTCGATTCCAAGTCGCTGATGCGATACCAGCTGCGTTTGTATTGCGCCCGTTGATAATTGCGCCGTGGCCACGCGGTGTGGAAAAAACGATACGAACGAAAAGGAATTGGGCTAATTGCGAGGGCGTTCGGGAAAAACTGCTCCTCGACTCGGCTCGGAACGAGAGAGAATCGGTTGGAAGCATAGGATATCGCGATGGTCGGTGAGCAGAAAGATATAGAAGAGATAACTCGAGTACTAAGAGATTATTCGACATTTTCTCCCCCTTTGTCTTTCTCTCTTTTCAAAATTTTCATTCGATGGTAATTACGAATATTAAAAATTTTTGTGAATTCGTGAATAACGTTGATCAATTATCGAATAGTTGAGTAATCGCGTCGAAAATTATTTTTTATTGGATCGATTTGAAAAGTTGAAAATTATTCTTCTCTCAAATTCGATCATAAAGTAGAGTATCGATAATAATGGATTTCTTTTTTAAATTTCGAACGAAGATTTTTAAGCAACCTCAATAATTCGATACTCGGGACATACTCGAAAGAATAACGCCGTAATACTTAATGCAGCTATCCGATTGGAAAGTCATCGTTGGGAATTTGAAATCGTAGATCCAGGGAAACATTGTCGCCAAATTGAGACTGTTCTCCCTAGCTCCGCCTCCCGTGCCGCTTATACGCGGCGGAAGTGGAGAACAAGGTCTAAAAGGTAGGCTCTTTTTCTTCGGTGCTGCTTTGTGTGCCACTGGGCCGATTGCGCATCCTCGATTCACTTGTCTCGCAGATAAAACTATAGGGGAAGGTCGCGCGTTAACACGCCACGTGAAACCGTGAAAACGACGGGGAACACGATTTCTGTTCACGATCCCCGGTGAAATACCATGCGTTCTCCTCGCGAGAAACATCGATTGCCTCGTGAAACGTCTATTATCTAAATTTTGTATTATTTAAAAGTATATATATATATATGTCAAAATTTTTATTCGAATCATTTGATATTCTAACGAAAGAAAATTGATGATGGCCGAATCGAGGTGAGATCCTATTTAAACTTATTCTCGTTAAATGTATTTTCTCTTCGAGGTACACCTTCTGAGAAGGAAAAGTAGATTGTTACGCAATAAAGTCTGCGTAATAAAATTGTTACAACTAGCCAATACAATGTTTCAAGAAAGTAATACATCGTGTAATAAACGATTTTACAATCGTTAGGATAGTTAAACGCTTACGAGTTCGCACCTTCACCCTTTTGGCGTCGCTCTTCTGTCCGTTAATTCAATTTGTCAAACGCGTCCATAAAGAATTTTCGATAAATTCTAACGATAAAGATCCCTCTTATAAGCGATAATATCTAGAGAAGAAGACTGGTAGCTCTAGAGATCGTAGAGATGAGAACGCGCTCGAAGCGAAATCGGTAGCCGAACGATGAACATAAATTCCAGACTCTCCTGGAGGAAGCTAATGAGCCAGGTCAGAAGTTACAACCACCTGTTGTTGATTGCTGGCCTGTATCCAATAACAAGTAGATAATAATAATAATCTAAAAATAGGATCTAAAAAAAGTATTGGTATCCCAAAGAGAATTTTCTTCTTTTTTTCTTTTCTACGTTTATTCTATTTATTTAAATAGATAAAAAAAAATCAAAATGCAAATTTAGACACGTAAAATGTTACTTTATAAGATTGTTATAATAATTCAAAGTAATCGTTTCTGATAAACAATAAAAGAAATTATTGTTTCAAAGTAATAAGTTCGACTGTATTTCAATAAAATTATTCTTTTTACTTGAAATATAATTAAAATTGTCTATTTACCTGTTCAAAGAATTTTCTGTTGACTATTCGATTAGCTTGTTGTTCGAGCTTCGAAGAAAATCAGAAGAAAAATATTTTTGCTCCAACTCATTGCTCTTCGTATCACGTATATTGTGTAAACATTGGTGAAGAGAAAAGAGAAGAAATCCTTCTTGGAAACGGGACTACTTCGACGATTTCTTTGTAATTTGAAAGTCGAGGATTATATATACATTTTTTCGGAAGGATTTTCGAACAATTTTTGGACGTACATCTTTGCCTTCAAAGACTCTTGTTCCCTTTGTGAATAGAAGCGAATCTTCGAGTTGGCAAAGACGTTTGACAAGAATCGCCAGGATCTATTCACAGTTGCGACAGTAACGTATTCGCTCATTAATTCCGCGCGTCCCCATTTACCAGTAAACCGACAACTTTCCTTCGTAACAATGGAGAATGAACTAATGTCGCGTTTACTATTTCATTGTGGTGGAATAAAAGTAGAGTAAGCAATTGCTAGCATAGAAAGAGATCCAAGTTTCCAAGCGGTAAATAATATGTAATGACTTATGGCTACAACGAATGGAATGCAATATTGCAAAATAAAAAAGGTTTAAAAATTATAGTGTCCCAAAATGAAAAAAGTGGCACGATGTAATTACAGTAGAGAAGAAGAATATGGTTCGTAAAAAGTGACCTTTCTACTAATACTACCTCGTTGTTTCACCTAACTCCTTCACCTGAAATAATATCTGTGCTATAATCAAAATATCCTCTAAAACGAATTACTACGATGAACATACAAATTTACAAATGAAAACTATTCTAGAAACATTGGGCTGTAGCACAGAATTTTTTTAAATTTCTCGAAAATTTAAACCCAATTTGTATTAATGAAGAAAAAAAAATTCCGGACACGGTTGAAAAATTTCACAATGGCATCCCAAAGATTCGAAAAATAAAGATAAAGATTTTTAAAGTAATTCACGATCAAAACGTCACAATTTCGTTATATCGACTTACCAAAAATTTAAGTTACGATTCAAATAAAACGCAAAATTTGCATCGAGAAAGGAAGAAAACAAAGATTGGTTTCTCACAAACTCACCTGGAATTAAATACGAAAAATCAGTCAAATATATAAAATTCGCACGTTTTTAAAAAAAAAAGAACAATCACGACGAATATAAATATTCGAATCTTTCCAACTTGTTTACGTCTTCGATCTTTGAACAATTTCCATTGTTTGCCGTGGAATCCGTCCCCAGCAGCGTCCGCGCGCGAATTCACCTGCGTGTTGTGAATGTGGCACGCGCGTTAACACTGTTCACTTCGGTTCCTCGCGAGGATACCTTGTTGACGCATTAGAGATGCGTTAACCTCAATCCAATCCGTGTATTCGTATTACAACAAGATCGGCACAGTGACACGTTCCATTTGACCAATTCGTTTTTTCTTTTCCACCATGAATTGCGAATCAAGATTATAATCTTCGTGTCTTCGCGTCCCTCCTTCTTACACAATTTTCAATCCAATGCTCGTCTATCATACAAACACGTTTCTTAGAAGCTTAGGGTGAAAGAATCCTTATTACATAAATTATTAACCAATTTATTTACGACAAAGTTACACCAAACACTAGAACTATCAATCGTAATAAATTGATTTAAAATCAATCAATTCAATTAATCTGCTTCGATAGTCCTAGTGTTAACAATTTCTTTTTCTTGTCCAAGTTCAAGAATCTGAACAAAAATTTATTCTTTTTACCTCGTCTCACTGCTTCTTTGGATTGTTACAAGAAATCCAAACTTGTAAACTTGATAGAACGATGGATGGTCGAGTTCGAATTCAGTCGACGATAGTTTTAGATGGGAGAGTGAAGGTTGCAAACTGAGACACCCTGTCGGTTTTCCACGCCGCGGACACGCCTAGTTAGCCAGCAGGGAAAAAAGAGGAGAGGACCGCGAGTGAAGGTGAGGCGCAAAACTGGCGCGACGAGAGGCGAGAAAAAGATGCCACGTGCTATTCTCTCCAGCCGCTCTCATTGTTACGCGATCCACGCCTCGAGATCGCTACGCCAAATAAAACAACAACGTTACTGGTCCTTGCGTTCCTTAATTGCAACGCGTGCCGGATGGAACGAACCGAGAGACGTTAACATAAATTTTTTGAATCGAATAATAAAATTCACTTCCTCTCTGCACAATGTCCAACGAAGAAATTCTATCTAGAAATAAATTCATCGACATCCTTGTGATTTACATTCTTTATATAAAATCTTTACGTTTAATATTCCAAAATAGAGAGAGAGAGAGAGAGAGAAAAGAAAATATACCTTCGATTCAGACAAGATTGGGAATCTGGACCAAAGAGGACGCGATGCAAGAAGTCGAGAGAGAAAGAGGAAGAAAGGGATACGCGAGAGTTAAGGCCATGGATCGTCCGCGACCTAAAACTACTTCCATCTATCACGGGGTCAGCAGGGTCACGGTACCAGGCACTTGAAATAGGAATCCCTCTACATTTAACCACCCCTCTCTTCTTCATTCTCCTCCTCCTCCTCCTCCTCCTCCTCCTCCTCCTCCT